TAGAAACAACTCACAGCTTTTGCTTATTTTCAGTAGTTCAGGGAAGGTCCCGACAACCTTAATTTGGTTTGATTAACAGATGATTGACTATTTTTGTATATTTCTCAGCTTTCTGTCCATTGGGCCAAGAATAATCTGGAGAGCAGGTTGTGCACGTCTGAGACATCCACCCTGGACAGATCTGCTAAATCCCTCAGATGTTTGTTGTTGACTATTGCTTTACTAAATTCACTGCAGGTCCCATACCTAGCAAACACTGCCACATGGTAACTCATGGCTATGAACATTCTCAAGGTCATAAACTCTCTCCAGCCCATTTATCTGCCAGGAAGGTATTCGCTTGCATCTTCCCGTGAATAAAGTAGCATTAAGACAAATGCAAGGCACAAGCTAGTTGTTGGAGGACAAGCTAATACACACTCCTACTTTTAGCCTGGTATAAGGCTTTTTAACCATAGATTTTAGGAAAGAGTACATGGTAAATTAACAAGAAACATATTAAGTCTGACAATTTGTACAGACTAAATGGGATACATAGATGTGAAAATGCACTGAAGATCAAAGTTTCTTGCACTGTACACCCTCCCCTCACACTCAGGAGCTTTGTGGGGCTCTGTCACAGCCTGATATGCTGTATTGTTGGCTCCCATTTATTTGATTGAATTTGAAAAATTACCATAGTAATCAACTATCTGAAGGTAATGGTTTCCTCTGAGTTAAGAAAGAGCAGCTGCCAGCTCCTGCTGTGCTCTGCTGGGAACACTGGGCATTGCCAAGCTCCTCGAGTTCTGGTTCTGGTGTTCTAAACAAGCAAAACAGTCTCTATTTTTGATCATTCTTGCCAGCAAAGTGCACAGCCCACTTCCCCTGTTATGCACCATTTGAGAGGTCCCCTGAGTATCTCTCTGTGAGCCATCGAGGTGTGTTAGTTGTAATGACCAGGAATCTGTTCCTGCAGTCCATATTCTAGAGCCAACTTTGCCTCTTCCTTCCAAAATTCTTTGGTAGCCAAGAATACTTTGTTGTTCTGCAAGTTAACCAGCATTTCTAAATCAACCTCAATGACTGATTGTCTTAAAAGATTCAGTGTTTCATTGGTCTCATTTTTCTTCATTTCTAGGCACTGAGCAGTTTGGGAGGAATCATCTGTGTTTCTCCAAATGTTGGGGTTTTTTTTCAGCTGTCTATCATGATATTTTTTTCTTACAGATTCCTCTGTTTTCATGCCATACTTTCATGTCTTTTAAATCATTTCCTTTGTGGATTTGTGACATTTCTGACATCTACAAATATTTCTTTCCCCTATTCGAATGGAAATGTTGCTGTTTGGGTATTTGTGCCCTCATTTATACTCACAGAGCTTCTCTGTGGTGCCAGCAGGTTGTCTACTTCTAGCAGTGCTTAAGTTATGTTTCAATGCTTGTGGTGTCCTTTTAAGTTTTTGGGAGGTCTTTCTGTGAACTACATGACATCTGCTCTATTACAACAAACCCTGTTACCAGGTGTACTGTGGTTTCTATATCTTTTTGACAAAATGATGCATTTAATCATTTTCCTTTGATTCAGTTTCAGATATATTCTCTTGATCTCGTAAATAACACTAATAAATATTTCTTGTGCTTCAGCTTTGATGCTGCTGTAAATTGGGATATTGCAATTATGAAAAAGACTCTTCTATATATTTTTTTTAATTGGCCTATCCCTTGTGATATTCTAAAGGGTGCTCTTGGAATTACTACTTTACAGAGAGTAAAGCAAGTAACTTGCTTCTCAGAAGGTCCAGTTGCTGGTGCCACTAGCTAGACTGATCACAGTTTTGTATTGCATGCCTACATGATACCAGCTGGGATAACTAGACTGTGGTGACCCCACATTATGGCTTTTTTGTTTTTTGAATCTTGATCATCCTGGAGAAGGGCTGTATTTCTGTTACTACGGCATTAAGATTTATCCACTTTTCCAGCCAAATGTGTATTCACTGTAAAGTTCCTTTTCCACCTGGCTCAAGCCCATTGATAATAGGAATCAGGAGGGTGAAGACAGAGCATTAAACTGGGGAAAGCTTGGTCTTCCAGTGCTTTGCACCTTTAAGCATATACATAAAGCTTTTCCTCATTCCTTTTGACGTTTTTTTCCTTTTCAGAGTCAGGAGAATTTTTAGCAAGTTCCTCCCAGTGCAAATGTTTACAGCATCTCCAACTACTTGCACTTTTGACACTTGGTTCCTTTGCTGACATTCAGCTGTGCATTTCACGGCTGTAAGAAGTGGACAGTCCATGTTGGTTTTAGACCAAGTAACAGCAATAAGAGAATAGAAATGAAGAATTAGGGTGAAGATCCTGAGCAGCAGCAGCAGGGAATGATCATCCATATTATGGTTTTACCTACTGATGAGAAAAAGGGAAAGTTTAGATTTTATGAACTGCATTTATTCTCATTGAACAGTCCTGATAACAAAGTAATAAATGACATATTTAAATGCCATGAATCCTGTAAAAGGGCCTTTCAGTATCATACTCTTATCTGCTGTGGTCTAAACCCTGCTGGTGGTGCTGGCTCTGCCTTCAGAGCCCTCGAGAGGGGTGAGCAGTGCCAGTCCCTCATCAGAGGGTCAGGGATCTGCTTTAGAGTGGTGGTGGAGGGGCAGAATCTGTCATCAAACGGTTTTTGGTCTGCCCTTTAGTGCAACATGCTTACCTCTGCCTCACAGCCTCAGAGCACCCAGCTCATCCCGGCACGTAAACCCTGACTCTACCTCCATGTTTGCCAGGGCTGCTGTCACCGTGTCCCCATTGCCCTGGGAAGGCTGCAGCTGCACCCAGTGGCCACCTACTCCCCAAAAACCTGGTGTCAATCTCCACAGGACCTTCAAGCCTGTGTTCTTGTTAGAAGCCACTCTTCACCCTTGCTTTGGTGTGCTGTTGAAATTACAGAATCCTAGAGATGGTCCTCTGAAAAATTAACATGTGTAGCTAATTAGCACTTCCCTGGAATGCAAGGTTTGTGGTGGCATGAAGAATAATGCCTTTGCATGAGCCACCGCCTTGAATCGAAAGGTCCCTGCCTGGAATGGTTTGGTTTCATACTACTTAAAAGGTACTGAGATCTCTGGGTGTTTTATCCTCCAGGTAGGCAGAATTACTGTCTTACAAGGTTTGGAAAATACATCATATTCTGTGGAAAAGAAGAGAGATCCTGTCATGAACTTCATCAAAATGAACGATAACTTTGGCTAGAGGGAGAACATTTCCTGAGGAGACCTGTTTATTTCACCAAGATTCTTTTGTGCAGACATCTGACAGCTGAGCAGAACATCTGCCATCCTGCATCAGAGACAGAGTCTGTCCAGGCCAGTATCCTGTCCCTGACAGGGGCCAGCTCCAAACGCTTCAGAGAAAAATGCATTTCCATCATGATGGGAAATAACTTCCTCATGTGATGAGTTTAATGCCAGACACTTGTTGGTTGATTTGGGGAAGAAGCACTAGACTAGTTGTTTCTTCAGGTTTTTTTGTTTGTTTGTTTGTGGTGTGGTTTTTTTGTGTGGGTTTTTTTTGTTTGTTTGTTGTTGTTGTTGTTTGGTTTTTGTTCTTTTTTTTCCTGGTCTTTTTTTCTGGTTGTTTGGTGGTGGTGGTGGTTTTGTTGTTGTTGTTAATCTCAGGTTATTTAACTGTAAATATACTGAACAAAATTCAGCTCTGGCCATATATTGAATTATTAATGAACTCTATCATGGAACTGCATTGTGGGAGCAGATTTCTTAGGTTATTAAACATTCATAGCCCTCATAGCCTTTTGCAGGGTAAGTTTTGATAAAGGAAGATACATTCAAAGGTAAAGGAGGATCTGGTACAAAGTCTGAGCTGTAGTTTTAAAACTGTTTTGTACTTTGGGTCATTAACATTTCTATTTTCTTTCTCTTCCTCCTTTCAGGGCTCTTGCCTGGGTATTCTTCGTTACATTAGATCTGACCTTTCTTTGTGAATCTACTCAATGCTTATCTTATAAAGAAATGCTGCTATCTGCAGGGTATTGTTTTCCAATTTTTTTCATGCAATTAATAAATGGATCCGTGGTTAACTCTGGCCATAGACACTAGACCAAAGACAGCTCTGAGAGCGTGACCAGCACCTGCAAACAGTGACTCCTAATGCTGAACACCAGAGCGATTGCACCCAAGTGTGGGATGTGCTCTCACTTCCTACGTACAGCACTTCTGCCATACACAGGTCTCTTTTGTCAGCTAAAATTAACTGGCACGTGTTCCTGGCAGCGCTGCTGCTGTTTCCAAAGTGACAGCCTCTTCTTTTGCATCCCCAGGAGAACACCTGAGAAACGGCACATCTTTCAGCTAACACTGCCCTCCTGCCTTCCTCAGCCTGCAGAGGGCTCTTGCCATGCCGAGTGCTGCTGGGCACCCTCTGAAACAACCACCCCCATTCCCAGGCTAGGAAGGAAGAAGTTTTTCCTGTAGAGTGTCCACTTGCTTATTATCAACAGGCAGGTCATCAGCCTCTCTCTTGCTGGGTATGAGACCTACTGATGCTCAAAAAGCCAGGAAAAAACATGTCCTTCTGACTGTCTCCTTGTATCATCAGACTAGAACGAGCCACTAATGCCCCTTTTCTCTAATGACAAAGTATGTACAAACCTCATGTGGGTATAACCATGTCATTTGCATTATTAACCATGTAACTGCAGACAAACAGTTTCTCTCTCTGCTTTCTCTTCTCCAGCATAAATCTTATTTTCTGTTAGTGTGCCACAAAGTTTAGAAATGTATTAGTACCTTTTCTGGTCTGTTCTGCCTCCAAAATGCAGAGTGGGGTGAGCACAGCAGGACTCTTTTCCTGCAGACCTCTATCTGGAAAATCTGGAGTGTTGTTTCGAACATACATTGTGTAAGTTGCAACTAGAAGATTCATGAAAGCACATCAGTGTTTTTCAGAAACTTTAGTGTTACTGGGATGCTCGAAGAGTACACTGAACTCTGCAGATGGTTTGGTATCCCAGATTTTAATTTTATTAATTTCTTATTTTCAAGGCTTCTTTACACAAACTACATTATAAAGTCATCAGCACAGAGTCTGTAATCTATGTAATCCCTGGCACTCATGTGGATTTGCAAAATGCTGCTGGTAGACAGGAAAAAGGTTTTTAATACAAGAGTCATAATTTCCATTGATATTTTTCTCAATCAGTTGTTCACATCTGTATTTCTGTATCATTGATCACATTTTAGAAAAAACAAACAAACCCTGCTAAGCATGTTAAATGAGGTTAACTACTCTGGTAATGATGATTAAATACTTCTAAGAAGTGCAAACAGTGTCTTCAATGAAGATCTAAATATAATCATGCTGTACACCTTAGCTCCATTTCAACTTCTCTTCCTGTCCTGGAATATAATTAGGGTGGACACACTCATCGTTAACCAACATCTTGATGACCTTGCTGGAGCCAAAGCATATGTTAAGTCACAACCAAGTCTGAGGCACTGACTCAAAGAAGGGATTCAAATTTCCACAGTTAGGTGCAGTAGTAACATGAATTAGACTACCAAGAAAATATAACACATCTTAAATTAGACAAAGTAGCCATTAAAAGTAATTTTCAAAAAATAATCTTAATACTCACAGGAGACAATGGTGATAATTGAGACCTCTCTGCATGCTGCGTTAGAGTCTCTGAAAAATGTGGTTAGTCATGAATTTACATTTCATGATTTACAGTAATTCCTTAAAACTCAGCTATTCTGAAGGGTCAGTGTGTTTATGCACTGGAAGACTCAGGAAATTGTGGTTCACCCTCCTGTTCTGGCAGTGGCATCTGTGCTAAAGCTCCAGCTCTCCAGGCCTTGGGTATGTAGGTGCCACTGCAGACAGGGACGGCCACATTCTGCACCGGGACACTCAGATGGGTACTCATGCCCACCTCCTCACCTGAAAAGCAGTTCCACTCCACCTGGAGACTTCACTGGCTCAAACCACATCTCTGCACTCCTTCTCCCTTGTGTCAGGGCTTGCCAGAAACAAAGTTAGTTGTGGTGGAGGTTTCCAGAGGGACAGGAAATCCAGCTGATACCAGCCGTATGAATGCACAGATGTGTACAGCACAGGGCCGGTGCCCAGGGCTTGCTCTGCAGGTAAAAAAGGAGATTTGGCTACTTTTGATCTCCCAGAAGTCAGGCTGGAAAACACCCAGCACCCAGAAGACACAAGGCAGCCTAGCACTGCCTAGGCAGCACAACCACAGGCTTCATGGGCGAGGAAAGCAATGAAGAGTCTGCGAATTAGCTCAGAGCACTGAGGTGCTCCAGATGTGTGTAAAAACATTGTATACAATTCATTGTCAACTGCTGATAAAAATCATCAGCCTAAGTTTAGTCCTGCACTAAACTGCTTTCCTCTGGGTACAGATCTCTCATAGACTTTTTCCTGCAAATGCAGGCTGCTTCAAGAGTGCCATTTCCCTTGAAGTTGTGATTAGCATTTATTTCCCCATGCTAGAGTTAAATTTAGCAGTAGATCTACTTACTTTTTGAAACTAGGAACTTACTAAAATCTTCTGATCTTTCTTTATAGAACAAACCAGGAATTCATAAAATGGTCTTAGAAAGTGGCAATATTCTATTCAAATTTTACAATAACAATAAATGCAATTCTAATACTATACACTATTAAAATTTATCTGACGTCATACAGAGTTATTAATATGGAACTAAATTCCTCTGAGTGGGACTTTGAATACGATTTCTAACTGAGATTAAATAGTCTTTAAGAAACTGGATAAAAAATATTTAAATGTATTTTGGGCTAAGCTGCTTGTTCATAAATAATAATCAAATGAATAGAACATGTTCATTTATTTCAGATCTATAAAATACAAATCTAAAAATATCGTTTTACAGACAATATTCACCATTTAGTTTACATTTTAGTAGGGTCTTAAGCCTTGCATGGAATAATAATGTAGCAGAACAACAAAATAGTCTACATTTTAACTTTATAGATTTCCTTAACTAGACTCTACCATATACATCAAAAATAGTTGTGCACAGTAACCAATTAAACATCTACATTTCAAGAATAGATTGGCTACATCTCATAACTGAGACACCAATTACAGTACATTTATTAAAAATCCTTCAAGAACGCACTCAGTAGTAACAGTAGTTAAAATCATAAATGTTCTGTGAAATGATCAAAGCAAATGATAACAGAATTAAAAAAATTCAGTTAATCATTTATATGTAATGTAAAGCCCATGTAACACTACAACAAAGAAAGAAATTACATGGGCACAAGTGCAAAAAAGCAATATTGTAAGCCATCTTCTCTCTTTGGTAAAAATCAATTAGCAGGAAGTATACCATAATAATTCAAGTCAAAGACTAATTCAGGCTATATTTTTTTTCCTTTCCTACCATAGGCAGACTTGATGATTTGCAGGCATCCTACAGTGAAGAAGTTAAAATTCAACTTAACACTGCCCATTTTCTCCTCTTTTAAGTTTAAATATTGAAATTAAAGATAAGGATTTTTTTCTTTCATAAATAGCTTTTCAGTAGTATAGTCTCTTAAGGAACTGAAAAATAAATAGCAAAATATACACAATTTCAAAGATTACATTTAATTCCTTCTAGGTATATCCTGAAAATATATCACCAAAGAATAAATAACTTTGGGTTTCTCAAATATTTGGTAAAATGTCAATTACTCTTACATAAGGAGTTTTCTCTGAGGGATAAGGAAGTACCACTGCTTTTCCTACAAAGCTTTTACTATACAGGTGGAATTTTAATAACTTTACAGTAAAATTATAATCTGCAATATAATATGGATGTTCACCATTAAAAAGCACAATATAAAAATCTTTCAAAATTAAACTTTCAGAATTTCATGTTCTAACCTGAGGAACTTCCAGGTAACTATGAAGTTCTTCTGGCAGGACAGTCAAGCTCAGTTGTCTGTGTCAGGAGGCTACAGTAGGAGTAAGGCAATTTCCTCCAACGGCAGAGCCAAAGCTCTTTTCTACTGACAGCATACTAAAAGTCCAGAAAGGACAAATGTTGAGGAAGGGACAAGAGAAGGATGGGGGTTAAGAACACTTGAGTGTAAGCCATCCTGAGACAGGCATGGACTGCCTACAGGGATTTTACTATAACCATAGATTTTAAATAAATTCTTCTGGTTTTGAAGGACTTGACTGTCATGATCAGTTAAGGAAACGTCACAGGGGATTTGTAGGTTATCATCTTACTCAAGCTCCTCATATTTACCTGAAATTATTACTAAAGAAAACAAGAAAAATGCAGGCCACATCAGTAAAGCAACTAGTTAATAGAATCCATCCAGCAACTTGAAGTGTCATTAAAAATTAATAAAAAAAAATAATCTTGACTGCAGGAAGATCTTCTGGAGGGGCAGAGCAAAGTCCTTGCCTTTTTAGAAGATCCATTTAAGCTGCCAGCAAAGTAAAGGCAATTTTGATTGCTCATTTATTCAGAATTCATAAATAACATGTAGATTCACTAAGCTCCTATTCACACCCACAGCTAATTTACATAAAATATTAAGCAGAATGCTTTTCTACTCCTTGTTTGATTCCAAGCACAAGATGTAAAAACCAGTTAAATTGCACAGTCCAGCCCTTATCTCTGCAAACTTCTATCTGATCAAGGAAATGCTTTTTGGCATCTTCTTCGCTTTTTCCTACTGTCAGTGCATCCCTGATATATTCAATATCTTCTTTGCTGGTTAATTGCGGCATTCCAGTCATTAGCATCATGGAGAACAGGATGATCAGCAGGTTTGTGTGGTGTCGAAGAGCTAAGTAAGCCCTCACACATACGTCCTACAAGAGAGAAGAGTTTTTTGTTAATTAATGAGAAGAACGGAGAGGGATGGGGCAGGAACTTCACAGAACTCCCATTAACCAACACTATTCTATCACTCATGTCAGGGGGAGGAGACCCAACAGAGCCATTCACCTGAGCAGAGAAGTGACCTGAACTTCTGCATCTGGTGCTCAGTGTGACTTCATTCATCACCCCACACTGGGGCAACGAGTGCTGTTTTGGTGTACAAACCAACAGCTCTTCCTAACCATACATTAACCACTAAAAACCTCAGCTTCACCAAGACCTCAGATTAATTTCCTTGCCATAATATCTCCCGTGGCTGTTAAAAGAGACAGCAATAAGTCATTGTCTTCCTTTCCAATCGGGATGTTGACATTTAAAGACCATGGCTGGGAAGTGATACTGGATAAAGCAGCACCTCCAGGGGACTGCTCCTCATTTTGTATAGATGTCTATTAACGTCGCAGTGGTGACGGTTTATTTAACGAGGAAGATTTTTCAGGCCTGGTGTTCTAAGAAATATTTCCAGCTGACAGCTCTAGTCTTCAGGCACTCTGCCTTGCTGTAGGACTTCTATCTTTATGTACTGTCAAACTGGATTCCACACACTTTTTTATAGCTTTTTCATTTCCATGTATAAATAATCTGTGCTTAACAACATACGCTTTAGAAGAATGAAATATCTACAGCTTGGAAAAACATGCAATGCTTTTTAAAAATAATATTTAATGATAAGTGACTAACATATAAACTGACATTATTTCTTTTATTAAATTTATTACTCATTTACTATTAGAAATAAGAGCAATGCAATGGAAGACATCAATCATCAATCAACTAAAAACTAGGCCTGCAATGCAGTAATGTAAAAACACGAAAAATATCTCCAAGAGGGTTATTATTATTAAAACCAAAGCTGAAGCAATGCTAATTTTTACCCAATTAAATATTCAACTTAGCCTTTCCACAACTGTATATTAATTTATTGAAGAATTCTTAGGAAATCTAAATATTTTAATGTAAACTTCCATCAAATCCCATCAGCCCTCTAGAATGCCTTTTTTTTTTTTTTTAACAAGATGTGTGGGTTTTTTCTTCCTCTAAAACAGGAAGATGTGCACAAATAATCTTAACATCTATCATTGTTCACATTAGCAACACCAGGACACCCAACCAGACAGGTCAGGAAGATATTAAGGAAGTAAGATGATATATTGAAGAACTGTCTGTACAATTTCTTTTTTTTTTCCTATCGCCTGGGAACATAGATTTTTCACTGTTTCCAAATAAATTCTGTCCTGAAATAAGATCATATTTATGAACTCCAGTGCTAGTTTAGTTCTAGCAAAGTAGAAGATAAATTGCAACGGTCAAAGCACAGTTTACAGCAGAAAACACCATCATCTTATCACAGGGAGTAGTTTCTCTCCATGGCACCAGGGGAAAAATAAGACAAAAAAAGAAGAAATTTTACTTATGTATTATCAACTTCAAACAGGAAATCTTGTCACAAGAGCTAGTCTGTGTTTTGTTCCCTTTGAAAGAGAAGAAAGCTCTTTGTAGTTATATCAAAGAAGGTTTTACATTTCTGTATGGATGATGCGTCTCACTGCTCCGGGTGTCTGAGACAGAAAAACAATTATGCAGTCAAGAAGAACCTGGCATCACTGCATCTCACAGGCAGTCCTTCCAGGAATTCAAAAGATTTAAAAAATCTGCATCTGCCTGTTACACTTCTTTATTCAGACAAGAACTGAATGTAGTTTTGAATTAGTATCTTCCAAGAAAACGAGTTTTTACACTTCTGGGAGAGGAAGAGAGGACCAAAAATAACACAGTCAGTCTGTATGTGTCAAGGATATGTACAAGTTTACCCTGGGACTAAGAAGAAAGCTGCTAACTAATCTAAAGCCATAGGTAAAATAAGAGGAGCTGAGGAGAAACCAAAATCCCATTGTCCAATAAACGATAAAGAATAATTATTCTCAGAGCTTGAAACTGTCCTATATAGTACTATCCTAAAATTCAGACATTTTTGTAGTATAAAGTGCCCAAATTCTGTTACATCCCTTCCCTGTACTGTACACTCCAAGTAAAAATTTTTCAATGATGAATTGTCTACCCTTCAGTTTCCTATCACCTTTGATTGACAATCAAATACAAGAGATTTTAAAAAGAAATAGAAGAATTTGGTTAGTACTGAAAATACAGATCTCTGTACTACCAAGTCAGCAGAGCAATGAAAAAAATAATTAATTAAGTAAATGAAATATAATGAATAAAAATGCATAATTTAATGCAAAAAATTTAATGCAGATGAGGCTTTCTCCAGGGTTTATATAAGTACGAAGTGAAAAAGTTTCATGTTCAGGGGAGTAAGAGAGTTGATGGGTTTCAGCCAAAGGCTGGAAAGGAAATGCCATCACATATGACACAGCGAGAGAAATCTGGGCAGTACTAAGAAAGCTGAAAAATTCACAGACAAAAGAGAAAAATACTTACATTCTTGGATTAAGTTATGCTTAAATATATGTTTGCAATGAGGACAAAAACCCATCAAATAGTGCTTCCTACTAAGCATTTCTGTGATGTCATTAATAACCTCTGGCCTCTAATTTTCATTAAGCCATCACAATGGACACAAACAAAAAGGGAAGCAAAATTTAGATTAAGAACTTGTTATTGAAAGGAGCTTTGTTGCTAATTCCAGAAAGGTTGCCAGGCCATTAACAGCCTCAGAAGTTCACTAATAACAAACTATACTCTTTGCAGTGAACTCCAGACAAAATTACTTGTCATTTTAACCTCCTCTGGCACCTGCAATATGAGCTATGGCTAACACATCTGTATGGACTGTGTCTAATCAGTAACAGAGAAATAAACTTTTTAAAAAGTAGATATTTTAAGTTATTAAAAACACCAAAGCCTTTAAAAAAATGGATTCTTCTGAAGTACACCCTATTTTAATGTAGTTGAAGTACAAAATAATGAGAGATGCTCTTAAAAATTAATGAAGGATAAATGCTGAGACTTTTCCATTAATACATGAATGAGTCAGCAGTCACGCTGAATGAATCCCTCAATATTAGGAAATACAATGAAACAAGTTAGTTGAAAAGTGAAACTGTAATTTTTATTTTTTTTTTTAACTTTGGTCATGTAAGTAAAACATACCTTTTTTAGAGTAAAATATGTGATGCAGATCTTGCCCTGTGTTATTATTTTGCTTGTATGAAAGTATTTTACCTTTCTTTTTACTAGTCTTTGAGACAGAAAAGCCTTTTAATGTACTACTACCATAGTGGTTTATAAACACTAGCTATTGCAGCCAAACTATACATGAACTTTTATTTTTTGGTGAGTTTATTGTTGTTTATGTCTAAATGATCTCACTTAAAATGCCCAGGTCACATATCATGGTCACAGTTCACAAAGGCAAGGCACATTAATCCCCTTTTATCTGGTTAATGACACTAATGGAAATGACAGTGTTGCTATCACCCCATTCCTAAAATGTCTGCATTAGTGGGATGAGACCAAAATCACCTCCAATTGCTTTTGGCATTTGGGCTGCTGAAGTAAAGGTCAGATATTCACTAAAGAGACAGATGATCCATATATATGAACACAACTTTACTTCATTGCAGACATCAACAGGTCTTTCAAGTCTGTCTGAAAGCCCACACACACCCCCTCTTCCTCCCTTGTAACTGTCTCTGCTGGACAATGTGATTTGTCCTAAGATAAGAATACCAGAAGGGAATTGTCCCAAGATAAGAATATCAGCTGGGAATTGCAGAAGGAACTGTCTGGATGCTCATATAATGAATGCATTCCAGAGATGGGGGAGCAGCGATGACTCTGATTGACTTTGGTACACATCCTCCGATTTTGGTACACATCGTCCTGACAAAGGGTATAAAAACTGGGCCCACCAGGACAAACTGGTCTCCTGAGGCTGCAGGCAGCTTCCACCCTGGCAGGGACACCTGCAGGCTATGTCCAGCTGGAAAATGGGCAACGCTCACTTTTGTATGAGTGAGTAAAAGTGCTGAGATCTGGTCACATAAGGAGATACAATGCTAGAACAGTTACAGAGAGGACTCACCTGCGTTCTTATCTTAGGACAGTTCACATTGTTCATCACAGACAATTGCAAGGGAGAGGCTGTGTGTGTGGGGACGTAGATTTGCTGTACAGTCGTGCATATGTTCAAAGGTACACAGTCACCATCAAACAGTGAGAACCTTAATGAGGTACTCAGGTTAGAAAACCAGACTCCTGACTCGGACTGGTTCACTCACAGCAAATCCAGAACATAAAAGTTAGGCTTTTGCTTTGACTCACATCCTTCAGGAGAGTTTTCTTTTGATATTGTAAGGAACTTGCTTTCTAAATCAGGCACTTACTTGAAGCCTCTAAAGATGAACACAGGAATAACACCCCAGACATACATTTACCTCAGACTAGCCATGCTCTTAACCACTTCATTAAACATGCTGAACAGCGTTTTGCTTTGCTCCCTCTTTGCCCAGGTCCTACAGTAGTTTGAATAATCACAACTGTTTTGGAAGCACTCAATTTCAAATAAAAGCTGCAATTGAATAGATTTTTAACACCATACTTTTCTTTCAGAGTTAAAATCTATCCGTCCACTTCACAAAACCAGCACCTGACATAGCTTAGGGTCACTACAGATTTTTATTCAGATGCAGCAGTCTGAGCACTGAAACTCGAGGGCAGAATCAGTAGGGAATCACTGGCAAAGCCAGCTGAGGAATGCCTCACACCTGCTCACACTACACAGAGGCTCTGCTTAGTGCCATGAGTTTCCTCTAATTTCACAAACACTGAAGCCCTCTGCAAAGTATTTTCAGTTGAGAAAAGAAACAATGAAAGCGCTGCTTATCTGGTCTGCTGCTAACAAGCTTTTCAATGCAGCTTTGTGGATGTTTGAATTCTATTTCCCATAATCCTACAGATAATTTTTGCTCTCAGTTGGGCCTAAAATATCCCAGAATTGTATTATGAGTCATTACATTTTACTAACATAATGCCCAGGAGCCTAGACCTTTGAAAACCAAGGCACTAATGTTCATTTCACAGCATAAAAAAAAATATTGCTTAATTTATTTGCAGTTAGATACTCATTCTTTTACCTGAAATTTATGGAAATGTAGACTTGTCTTCTTTCCGGAAGTCCCCATGACATACAGAAAATCTGGAGTCAGCACAAAAGGAACTCTCTCCTTATTAATTCCAAGGAAGCTTTTATAATTCCCAAGAATATGGCCAAAATCAATATGGAAAAGGTTACCTTCATAAAGAGAAGAAGAAGTCACAGTTACACTCAAATACAGTAAACTGCAAGAACACTTACTTGTATTTACAGTAGTTCTAAATGCTCTTTTTTTTGGTATATATGATCACTCTTTAGTTCAGCAGAAAAGACTATTTTCTCTCCCTTTTTTTTTTTTTTCTTGAAATAGATAATTCTGTCCTCTTGGCAAAATTACTTCTTATTTATCTTTGGCAGTTGTTAAAAACTCAGCAGAGCTGTTGTGTTTTCTACACATACACTCACAGCTTTTCAAAAATCAACCAAGGAAAGCCTGTGCCTCAGATCCATAACAATCAGGGCATCACTACATGGAAAAGGCTTGAGGGTTATCTTTCAAATACCCATGGGATTCTGGCACTACCCACCTCCTTGGCATACGTCATTGACTAGAACGTGCTTCTTCCTCACAGACCTGCATTAGCAATTTCTAAACCACTCTGTACATGCAGAGTAAGTCCGCACTGTCACCCTTTTGATAGCTTTCAGAGAGCAGTAGGGTATCAATTCCCACAATGAAGCAATGAAAAACTTCCCTTTTAAGGATCTCTACACCTACAGGACTGGAATTTGTTGCTACTCTTCAGATTACTTTATTACTTTCCCTGGCAGACAGGTTAAGGATAAAAGAAAATGGTTACTTAAAAACACAGATTTGTAATAGTGGCACATGTATAAAAAAAGATAAACCCACCAAATTATGTAAGATGATACTTAGGAGTGATCTGTAGGTGGAACATCCTTATTTTAAGCCAGCTTCCAAGTTTCCCCAACCTACCAAATCTGACTCCCTGCAGACCTCTCAGACTGACATCCTTCTGGCTTCTTAGGCTTTAAAATAGCCCTCATTAAAGACTCAAAGGCAAACCTGCTCCTGACCACAGCAGTAACACTTCTCTACTTCCTTGTCTACTGACCTGTGCCTCATGTTCTCTCTGTGGGAATTAACACTGCATTATATTATATATAATGCTGAAATTAAAGCTTTCTTTTGTTGTCTTTTCCTCAAGGACTTCTGCTAAACTTTTTTACTCTAGTCTTCAATTAGTTAATTTCTGCCTTCAAGGTACTTCTCTCTATCCTTCAACTGCTAAAATTTTAACTATAATATGATGAATATTACATATCCAGCCTTCTAACTAAGCCCTAAAGTATTTTCCTAATTTTCCTAAAGACTAACTATGAAGTAAGAGGATCAAGAAATGAAAAGTGAATTCCTTAGACTAAATAAAACTTCTCCATATGTACTGCTTGTTCTGGTGTCCTTTCCAGGACTTCCCTAGGTAAGTAAAATTAAGTATGAAACCACGTGCAGCTACAGAAGTAATTCCCAAAGTTCATAGTACAAAAAAATTGTGAGTTTCTTCAGAAGGATTGCAACTATCTCCCCAGACTTTAGTAGCAAAACCAATACACTCTATGTACACTTATTTCCAATGATTTTTTTACAATACATAATGCAATTACGTTCCTCAGAAGTGAAAACATCTGAATTCTGACATACAGTTCCACTGAACTCTGTCAGAACCACATCCATCAGCAGGTGAATAGCTGTCTGCTTTATGAAGTTTTTCTGGTGTTTAGATCTTAGATGTAGACACTAAAACCCACTGTTTTACATTAATCATTACAGTTTATATCAAACTGCTCCTTGAAAAATAATGTAATTATTAATGATAATATGATAATGATAATATCTAGAGCCTGTATGAAGGCCAACAGGGGTGACAATACAATTCAATGTCACAGGAGGACCTGAACAACATTGACAGAACTTGACTGTGTCTCTTCATTCACTGATAAATGCGTTATTTATTAAAATGAAAAATAAATTTAGTTAAGCATAGACAGTCCACACTTCTATGAAATTCTCACGAAACAACCCACCTGTTTCTGTAATCATGATGTTGTCATTGTGCCTGTCACCTATTCCAAGTACGAAGGTTGCCACACAGTATCCAGCACAAGAGTAAACAAATCTTTCCACAGCTGCCTGAAACTAAAAATAAATCTTAGGGTTGACAAATGCTTCAATGCTAGACACTAAATGCAGTAATTCTCAGAGTTATGTATCTTTCTGTTGACATGTATCTATCAGCAGTTAGACAAACTGTCTTATAAAATACACTACTGCACAGCAGCGATCACGATCACAGCCCTGCACTGCACTCCCTGTGCTGTGTGAGCAGACTCTATCCCTGAAAGCAGCATATAGCTGCTCACACATTCTGAGGAAGAAAAGCTGGCAGAAAGCTCTAGTTGGTCAGTGGACCTGCCCAAGCAAAGGAGTTGTGAATACCCAAAACTGTATCTAAATCCTCTAAAACCACACTTTCAGTGTTCTTAAATGTCCTTTCAGTCTTCTCCTCATGTATCACTTCTAACTTCCATTGACAAAAAAGTCATTCCAAAAGCATCACACACACCTGCAGCTGAGTGCAGGGAAAACAAATGGATTTTTCACATTTCCATAAGTAACAAACACAAACATAGGAGTTCTATGCTCCTAAATTAGTAGGGTGCATCTGAAAGTCCTACTTAAAAATTCAAAGAACTCACCTTCTCTTCAATCATACACCTCTCCTTGAGCCACTGGCTTAGTATCTCATCCTTAAATGCACCAGTGTTCCCAACTGTGCTCTGTTGAATTTTGGCAATTGTTGTAGCATCTTTCACAATTTCAATCATTCCTAGAGAAAGTAAGGAAGAAGTTAGAAGAAGTTATTGAATTTATATCAAAGCATATTAAAATATGCAAAATTTAAAGTTTAAACTGGGGTTTAAAATTGATACAGAACTTCATAGGTTGTGAGCAGAGATTCATTTCACAAGCAAAAACGGTTCTTGTTCATTTCCAGCTGAAACTGGCCAGAGCTTGTAAATAGCCTGGCATCCTAAAATCCTCCTCTTTAAAAATGGAAAGCATCACATGATGAGTGGGGACCCTCTGCATAAGGCTTTTTCCCAGGAGAGGAACTACTCCTGTCCTGAGCACCATTCACATTCTCCCCAGCTTCTCTCCAACTTCACAAACATGAGGAGCTGAAGACAAGCTTCAGTGTTGCAGCAGTCTGGGGATGGAAGTGTTGCCAGGGCAGTGGCAGAGGAACAGAGCTGGCCATCCTGCAGTAAATCCAATTTAAGCTTCAGTGTTCATATACACAGAAAAGTTCAGAAATACCAGTACACAGTGAGGTATGGCAATGGGATTGCTGGTGGAAAGCTCTGGCTTGTCAGGGTCCAGGGGTCCGTCCCAAAACTGAACAGACCCTCGCCAAGGCGAATTGGCACATCACAGTAAGGTGGTGCAGAAACAAGGCCTTGTACTGTCCGTGCCAACACGGCATGTGATGGAGGGGAAGTTAGAGGGAAACGCAGGACCAGAGGCCACAACACAACTCTACACTCCAGCCAAGGTTAGCAAATGCAGTCTGCTCTTGGACCGGGCATATGTGTATGGGGGGAGTCAGATTTTAGTTGAGCTTATTAGGTAATTGGAAATATTTTATTTTCCTCCTGTGGTTCAAGTTCAATGGTGTCTTCTAGCTTCAGCTCCAGCTCAGAGATGAGCAAGCAAAGAAAAATATCCCTTTCTCCTCAAAGTAATTTAAAGCAGTTTCTGACTTAGTTTCAGTTGGACTCTCTGAAACAGATAATTTTATTTCTATTCACAGACCTTTTTCCTTTTGCAATTACTGCATTACGTGCAAATTTTTCAGTCACAGAATAACAACGCAGTAATCTCCTCCTGCCTTCCACTCATGACTGAATGCCCCCTGGGGTTATTTCTTCTGTCTTGACAGTGGTTTGGATTTGTTTGTAATAAAATTATTGTGGAAACATGACCTCTGAAACCCACGGTCAAGACCACCAAATTAAAAAGCTCTGCATTTTGATCTGTGCTTGTCAAGGTGATGTTTTTCTCCCGGGAGTGAGCTCCAGATCATATTCCAGCTGTTGAAAAGGTTTTCCCTGCCTGTGCTCACAAATCTCCCTCTACCGGCCAACAGCTCCTTGATTCCGGGGGCGCAGAGCTGGCACAGGAGGCATTTTCTCTAACTAGGACAGAGGTTCTCAGCTGGGTGGCTTTCTGCTGGGAGGAAGTGCAGCAGTAAATGCAGTATGCAATGGGTTTCTGGGGATCTGTGGTACTAAAGCAGGTGACTTTTTAAGAACCAGCTTGAACTCCCCTGAAATTCATCAGGGATGCAGCACAGTAAGTAGTGATAATTGTCTCGCAGAGCTGGGAACATACAGACATGTCAAAGGGAGGGAGAAAAGGGTTTCTGTGTGTGACTTTTATTAGTGACACACAGAAAATTCCTCCTATAGAGCAGAAGTCTACTTGGCAGCAGCAGTGGAGAGGATGCATGTTTCCAAAATTGACATGCAGATGTCTTTAACAGACTGAGAAAGCCCTGCAAGGAAAGGGATGCCAGCCCCAGGTGTAAGACACCTGTTTCACCCTGTGCTCAGTGCAGAATAGGATACTGTCCTTGTGTCAATACACAGAAAACTGCCCACGTCCCATGGAAGTATTAGGAGGGAGGGAAGAAGAAGCTTGTAAGAAGACTGAGTGTGAATATTGTGAAAGAACATTTGCATGCCACTACTCTTTGGTTTTGTTCCAAACAAGCATAAGCTCTGTATCAAAGTATCCCACACTGGGTATTACTAATTTAGGCTGCAGGTATTCTCAGAAACCGAGCACGAGTGTTTATATGATTATCCATGCCCCTACTGTGGAGCTAAATGGATGCTAAATTCTTACATCTCTTCCATGCATATAGGAAAATAAAAATTTATTTCCTTAAAGAGACAAAGGAACGGGGAATCAACTAAGAATTTGTGAAAGAATAATTAAGTCTGTAGCTTGAATATGAGAATGCTGGGATCACTAGCAGAATTTCTCCTTCTTGCTCCATTTTTTCAATAAATTACATCATCTTAAGATGATTTTAAACAAAATCATACAAAGTCCTAAAAATCTCTCTAAAATATTAGGTTTATTTTAACACATCTAAAAGAGGAAAAAAAACCAATCCTCCTTATATTTAGATAGTATTTTGATTTCTAATGTTCCATTTCCTTTATTACTAAAATTCTATCAATATATATTATTCAATTGTAAAACATTAATATTAGCAGAAAGGAAACCCTCTTATGTCACACTACCAGGTATTTTATTAGTGCGTTTGGGTTTCCTGCATTGCTGAGATATGCTGAGATCTTATTTGCCAATGGGTTTTAGAGAGCAAGTGCATTACAGATGTATATTAAAAAGAGTTCTTCATGTTACTGGGATTTCTTACATGATTTCCCTCACTATGAATCCTGAAAAATAGATCATCACGTTGCTGCTTCTATGTAGTATAGAGTATGAAGCTTTAGGTCAGGAAAAGAATGTAGATGTTTTGCTCTTTTCTCTATTTCATTCTTATCAACACATTAAAACACATCTTGAGTAAGTCACTCACTTCCACCGCTGTTTCCTACTAACTACTGTTATTAAAGAGAAACTTGCAGCACCACCCAAGCAGTTGGACTTGCACAGGAGAGTCCAGCTAACCACAGTTAAGCTGGACATTCATCAGAAGGGCAGAAACCACTGACAAGATGCAAACAAAGGCTACTCACAGAAAATGTAATAAAGTTCTATTTATCTCAGGACCACAGTACATATTAGAATAGTTCTCCCATACACAGCTTCTGTAAATATGATATATTGAATTTCTAATCATAGTGTGATCACATACCTATTTTGTTCCCTGTAGAAATACAACCATACGGTAACAAACAGAGATCCAAGGATTCTGCTTCCCAAATGGATTCCATAATTCGAAGAATCTATTAAAAAAAAAAAAGTATATGCCAAGTTATTTCAAATTATTTGAATGTTACGTATTACTCATACAAATAACGCTATCTAGATTTCTGAGATGGGGCTGAACTTACAAGGTTATGGGACAAATTAAGAGACAAATACAGAAAGTGTGCAGCCACTCAAGATTATCAGTTACAGAACCAGGGTTTGTATTTCCTCATCTGTCCTGTGACTGGGCAATCTCTACCCTTTATAAAGTATTAATAAATACATTCTATAATTTCCACATATGTTGTGAGGTTGAATACATTAGCAAGTATGTCCATTTTTCCCTGTAAACATCCCCAAAAGTACTAACAAACCAGTTTTCATAACAATCACTGAAATATTACTACAGTAATGCTACCTATCAATTTCTTTTTCATGTAACTTCACCCACTGCATAAATAAATAATAAAAATGCTTCATCAGAAAAACAGGTCATCTTTCACTAAGTAAGATTCCATCTCTAGAACACCCAAATGTGATGTATGGCATATGGTAGGAAAAAACCAGGGTTACAGTATGTACTGAGCCTGGCTGGGATGAAGCTCATTTCAGAGCAGCTTGTACGGTGCTGAGGTTCAGGCTGGTGACCAAAGCAACGCTGGGAACACACTGATGTCCCAGCTATTGCTGAACAGTGTTGGCTGAGCATCAGTGCGGCCTGTTCCTCATCTGCCTCACTGTGACTACATCAGGGAGGGCACAAGAGGTTGGGAGGGGACACAGCCAGGCAGATGATCCAAACCAACCAAAGTAATACTCCATGCTCAGCAATACAAGAGAGAGGAAGAGGGTTATGTAGGTTAACCATCCCCTATGGAGGAACTGGCTGGATATTGGTCTACCCATGGGATGTGGTGAGTGACTGCTTTAGCATCACTTGTTTTGTTTTCTTTCTCTCTTCTTCCACTTCTCCTTTGCTTACTAAACAATTTTCAACTCAACCCACAAGTTTTCTCGCTTTTACTCTTCCTTTCCTATTTTCCCATCCCACTGGAGTTAATCCACAAAACAGTAACATAAGAAACTGTAGTACAAGAAACATCCAATGTCCATGTGAGCCTTGCCATACACAGTTTAAAAAACAAAAGACAACCTCATATTTCATATGAACAGTAAAGATAAGGTACATACACTTTTGAAAAGGAAACCCATGTTAAATATTTTAAAATATTCACATTATTCACCTTATATGTTTTAGCTATCTTACCTGTAAAATAAGCATGTCTTGACGGAGGTCATCTCCGTGTTTGAAGATTATGCCTATGGTTTCATTTGACAGAGCTGTTGGATCTGCACATTTAAACTCAAGCCAGAGGGGCTTCTTCTTAGATGCCATTACTTTACATTTCTCTATCTGTGAAAGACACATTTATTGCTTGCTAGCCATTGTACTACAACATCAACACAACTAACCTTTTTACACAGCAGCTACAGAATAGTTTAGCAACTTCCAATCAGTTATACCACAAAAAACACACTGAAAGTAAATGTAAGGAACAGTGTTCAATTGCCATAGAAAGCCTCACTGAACCTGCACAACTTTTAACCACTGCCCATAATAAAGGAAAAAGTGTATCTTGACTCTCCAAAACTGGATTTAGCATGTAAATCTGCTTCAGACAGATTTAAACCAGGAACAGAGAATCTGACAAAACTGGCAAATATGGACCCTCACAACAGCACTTCAACAGGTGCTTTGCAAAACCAGAACATAATCATTGTCCAATGCAATTTAGCACATCATCCACCCCTGTGACTTCTAGCAACTACATTCCATATTGCCTGACTCAATTCCCTTAGCAAATTGTTCAAATTCATGGAGAAAATGACATTTTTGAAACTAATTTAACATAATTGTTCACAAAATAAGAAAATTAATTCCCTAGTTTTATTACATTTTTAATCTTGATAAATTTAGCATTCCAATGACTGAAACTGCATTACTTCAAATGTTTTCTCCAGTAATTATGGCTACCACAACTGTAGTATGCAACACTTTTTATTCTGGAATTCCTGATTCACGGTTAAACATTTCTATGTACAATAAAGCCATCTAAAATAATAAAAAAAAAGCAACTGCACATTAGTGTTCGAGAGCTGACAGAGAGAGATGACACAGGAGACGAGTATTTTAGAATATTCACATTTCATAAACTGAAGTTCTGAGCCTGTAGTTTAAAGCAAAACAGTTTTTACCATCCTTGGTTTCAAAAAGGAAAGAAGTTTTCCAATCTTTGAACTTACTAGAAACACACTGATTTTGCTTCTAGTATTTTGTTTATATAGTACCTCAGCATTGCACAACTGGGAAGTGCTTAATTTTCTCAGCTTGAAGATAGACGAGCTTATAGCCTGTTTACCAAGGCACAGGTTTATTTAACAGAAACATGGCCATATCTAGACCTGATGATACCTAACATCCAAATGAATATCTGGCTGTTCAGCAATTCCTTAAGTTGGATGGTCCTTGGCTAAGAGAAAAATCAAGGGATTCTTTTCTTGTGGGGTCCTTGCTGCACATCAAGTGCCTCCAAGGATCTTCACTGTGCCTCTCTACCCACACCTCACATTGCATAGCAAATGCATGATCCAATTTCCTTTCACTACACATCCTGGCTTAAACTAATAGAAAAATTATAATTTCCATTTAATGATTAGAATTTCACGGGTTGTTGCATTTTTTGTAGCACATGGTGGCATATCATTACACTTAGAAAAATTGTAATAGCTCTGGGACCAAAAACTTACTGAGTCTATGAAATGTCATCATATTCACACTGAAATAAGACTTTCAGACATATTAGCAAGATTTTTTACCAAATGACAGATACTTGCAAATAGACTTTTTTTTGAAAAGGATTTTCAGAAACTCAGAATATACTTACCACTAGGGCTCCTGCTCTTAGCCCAGGATCATACGGAACTCTAAAACTTTCTGGAAGTTTGCTGCTCTGTAATTTTTCCAGCTTTTGCCTCAGTTGTGCAATAACTGCAATCACACAGTAAAAAACCACAATGAAATAAAAAGCTGGAAGGCAAAAAGCTTACAGGTAATCAAACTTGTTAAGCATCGTGATTTGGTTAAAAAGCTCTGCTTAGCTACTTTTTAAATTGCTTTCCTCATGGATCTCCTGATTTGAGGAATGGGGGAAGACTTTAACTTGCAGTATCAATGGTCAGGGCTGTTTCAGACACCTGAAGTCTTCAAGCACCACACAAGTCAGTGATTTCTCTGCAGTGTTAGAAGCACTGCATAGTGCTTGGTGTCCTTCTGAAAACTCAAGAGATTACATTAAAATGTCAGCTTTCATTAAAAAAAAAAAAACACCACAGTAGAACACACAAAAATACTTTGTCCTTATAATTGACAAGAAATGCAGAGAGACTCATGGCTTTTGAATTTTTAAGAGACAATACAGAGGTACTGAATTTCCTAACCTCTGAAACTGGTTTCATATTGCAGCCCTGTTAATCTCACATTCCAGTAAGAAGAAAATTTGCTGTATATTTATATGAACAAAAATTTTACTGTTCATATCTGAACTCAATCTTTTAATTCATAAAACTTCAAGCCTCTGAATCTTCAGCTCAGAACAGTACAGATCACACAACATATGACATACTTTGTTCATCTCAGCTAGCAGGTGTTAGCAGCATAGGCAATACACTGGTTATTACCCTGCATTAGGACAAAGACCTTAAAACTGTTCTAAAACAAATTGTAGCTACACAGCAGTAGCTAAACTACATACATACATGTTTGAGTAATTTTGGAGATAAAAATTAAAGAGCAAAAAAAACTTTACTGAGAAAACTAGACATGGACCTGGATACTTAAAACAGGATCATAATCATAGAATCATGGATTAGTTTGGGTTGGATGGGACCTTGAAAGGCCATCTAGTCCAGCTTCTCTGCAACAAGCAAGGACATCTTCAACGAAACTTGCTCAGAGCCCTGTCCAACCTGACCTTGAGTATTTCCAGGCATGGGACATCTCCACCTCCCTGGGCAACCTATTCCAGTGTTCCAACACCCTCATCATAAAAAATGTCTTCCCTATGCATAATCAAATCTACCCTGCTTTAGTTTAAAGCCATTAACCCTTGTCCTATTGCTGCAGGCCCTACTAAAACGTTTGTCTCCACCTTTTTTTATAAACTCCCTGTAAGTACTGGAAGGCTGCTGTAAAGTCTCCCCAGAGCCTTTTCTCTTTTCTCCCAGCCTTTCCTCATAGGAGAGATGCTCCAGCCCTCTGATCATTTTTGTGACCCTCCTCTGGACTCATTCCAGCAGGTCCATGTCTGTCCTGTCCTGAGGGACCCAGATCTGGACACAGTGATCCAGGTGGGGTGTCACAAGGGCAGAGAAGAGGGGTAGAATCACCTCCCTCAACCTGCTGCCCACACTGCTTTTGATGCAGCCCAGGATACTTTGGCTTTTTGGGCTGTGAGCACACACTGACAGAAAATGAAGACAGTTTAAAAGCTGCTATCAAATTAAGAAAGTGAAGCCAAAAGAATTAGCAAAGAACTCACAGAACACAAATGTTACACATAAACTACAGGGTTTTAGAAAAGAACTACCTAGCAGTGCCTGGTGACCAATTTCTTGTAAAAATAAATTTGACAGCAATACACAGGAGATACTAAGTAGACTTTATAATTAGACTCTTTTAAAAAAAAAAAACAAAACACCCAAACCCACAATAACACAAAATAAAACCAAAATCAAGCCAATTAACAAAAAACAAACAAACTAACTAACTAACAAAATCCCCTCCCCTCCAAAAAAACCCCACCTAGGTTGTAGTAACTTGGGTCATGAAATAGCTATCTAAACCAGAACTATAGATTTCCTAGAAAAATGTAGCTTTAGTTCAGTAAGTCTCCTCATTGTAATTAATATAATTTGAAAACTGTAGGCCAACCAATTGAAGCAAGCAAAGATAAGGAATTAACTGATTTTAAAACACATGTAAAGGCACTTGCTAAAACAATTTTCAAGTTGATCTGGTTTAAGAACAAGGTGCTATGCATTTTAAGAGATGAAACAGCTGCACAGACACATTTCTGGGAAACAAATTATCTAGCACAGTGGTGATGAAAGTAGATAATCCCATGAAACATGTATTATGATCTTAAGAATTTATTTATTTATTATTACTGCCTATGTTCAAATATAAGCAAAGAGATTACTTGAAAAGTTAAAGAAACAGTTTGACAGCATGATTGCTACTGGAATAGGATGGACCTAACAGGAAGGAATTCATCCTTAAAATCCATAAACACTGGAGGAAGAAACATATATATAAGAATTAGATTAGACTGCACGACAGAATGAAATGAAACAGAACAAAACATTCAGACTGAAAATATGAACAACGATGAACATAGAAATGACAGGGCAAAAAGGAAGCAATAACCTAAAGAATAAATTTTAGGATATACATTTTTTAAAAACATAAGAAGTAGAGGGTGCCTGTAGGGAAAATTATGTCCTCAATAATCTGAGAATAAATTACATTAGCTATAGCATTAGTAGGACACTCCACATTTTCAGGAAGACTTATTCAGTGAAAATGTCAATTATATAAGTCATCTTTCAATGTTCTGCTGTACATTACATACAAAAATTCTTTAACTTCAAATCCTGGTGGGTGTTAATGTGATTGCTTTCTCTTGAAACTTTTCTTCTTTGCCCACATATCCTTCAAGGATAATGTATTATGGAATCCACTGCTGTTATAGACATGTAATCTGCAAGGATATAAAGTTTCTTTCCAAAATATGGAATTCTGACTGAATAAATAGGTTATAGAGTATTTTAAGACAAATTTAGGAAGTTGTTTAGAAACAATGTTTTATATGGGCTTCAGTAAGCCCTTTAACTCACACTATAGGGTAACATAACAGATATTACATATTTTACTGAAGAATAAATGCATATTTCCTTCAATTTTCTTTTGAAACACCACCACAGCCACTTCTGCATAGCCAGAGTGGAAAGGCTCTCCAATCCAAGGAATTCCTGGTTGGAACATCCCAGGCTGAACACACAGGAAGAAGTGGTCTCTCTACAGTTTTTAGAGCTTTAATATTATCATATGTCTTCTCACACTTACCCCCATCACCAAGCAAGCAACAAGGATGATGACAGACAAGTTTTTAAGGAAGTTGGGAGAAAAAAAAAAAAAAAAAGGCAGGCAAAACCCAGAGGTAAACAGGCACTGCATAACCCTACTGTGGCTTCCAAAGCAGTGCTTACAAGAGCTGGAAATAACAATACCACATCCATGTCTCCCAGGACAAATGCTCCTCAAAGACATGCTCAGTAGATTCAGCCCTGATCCTCCACCAGCTTCTTTCACGGCATAGCAGAAGCTGTACTGGGCTCCTCCACCATCTTCTTGACAAGAGCCTTTTAGTGAGAGCTTAGGGTAAGGCCGTGTTTCTTGGCAAGTGTCACTCTTTATTTCCAGTTGATATTTGTGTCCTGGGTTGTTTCTTTCTTGGTATTGGTATTGGTGTTGGTATTCAGCTAAGGGTTACGTACAAGAACTTAGCTGTTTGCCATTTGCATGGTGTGAGGTTCAAGAAGATAAGCCAAACCATGGGAAAGCACTGGCTGTCTAGAACACTGATATTCTCCCTCTTCTGGAGTGGAATGAGCAAACTATTACTGGTTCAACCATTATTAGCTTACACACATTTTACAAGAAAATTACGCCCTTTGACAGTAATTTATCCACAAATTTTCTAAATAAACAGTACCATTTGCTGCCTAGTTTTTCATACCCAAAGAGAAAAAAACAGTAATATTACCAACAAAGAAATGCCTGTTAGCAAATACCTTGAGAAGTAACATCATACTTTTCTGCAGAAACTGATTTTATCTCCATTGTGACTTTGTGCAGCAATTCAATGACTTGAACCTGCTTCATGAAGTCATGCAGCATGGCCTTCCCACAGCCCCTGAGATAGGCCTCGAGGATGACAGCAAACCTCTGCTGGTAATGCATGGACTGGGCAATCTCGCTTCTCAAGAACCAAAACAAGAAGTGACCAATTCTTTTGTTCTGGAGGTGAAGAAAAATACTGCAATGAGCACACATTTCTTGGCAAAGGGTTTTACGCCAGCAACTTCAGTGTAACTTGGCTGTATTTTGAAGTACTTACCCTCAAACCACGTTTGAGCAGAAATCTGGCTAATGCGCTGTCATGATAAGGCTCAAATTTCACAGCCTGAGCAATAAAAACATAGAAGGCATCTTATGAACACATTTAAGATCCCAATGCACTTACACTTCACCACTGACATCTACAGAACACATTGCTGCAGTAGGAAATGTATAACAAAGCAGGTCTTTTTGAAGCTTCTCTGTGTCTCATTCAAGAAGCACTTTTTCTCTGCAATACGTTCTTTTCAGGTTTATTATTGATGTGACAAAGCAAGGCATGGAGTATCTAACCAGTGAGGTCAACCTGAGTACATGAAGAAAGGGGAACAAAACATCACTCCCAGGCTGTAGCAAAAGCTAGCAAGATCAGGAAACAGTCTGCAGTCTGACTGACACTGAGAATGCTTGAATTTATTACTGCCAGATGAAATAACATATTTGTAATCATTCTTCAATAAAAATATCAATAATAAAGTACTGGTTTTGGACAACATCTGCTACTTTGGGAGTAAGGCCCCAGGGTTCAGTGCTGCTTCTCCAGAAAGCATGGGATACGGGAGTGTCTTCTCAGGGCACCTATCTGGCCTTTAACCCCTAAATGAATCATAGAATCATAGAATCATAGAATCAACTGGGCGGGAAAAGACCTCCGAGATCATCAATTCCAACCCTTGATAACGGAATAAAGGCTTTGATACACATTCTGTACTAATGGAGTACAATTAAGAGGAAGACTTCACCAGAGGTTTATTTTTAATGACTCTGTGAGAACAGATGCATTTTTTCTCTTCCAAAAGCTGCTCCCCTCCACCCAAACCCACAGACATTTCCAAGCTACTGCCAAAAAGAGTGTGGAAAAAAAGTCACCAATTCTTTTCAAGTGTCAGCATTGGAACTTTTTTGCTGTTATTCTCTTCTTCAACCCAATAACCAAGTGAATTGGTCTTCCAGAAAACTATTGCACTTTCAGGTACTGGACTGTGCCAGGGAACTTCTCCACTTCAACTCATTTTTCCAGCAGCTTCTTTCCTGTTGCTTCAGGAACTCAAGTTTATAGGAGCTTTGTATTAAGATTAATGGTGGAAAAAAAGTATGCATGTATATCCCATGGCAAGAAAAAAGAAATAAGAAGCATACAATCTCTGAAACAGAGTCACAAAATCCTGTCATGGACTGAGGGGGTTGGTGAATGGCTTCAGGTACTGGAAACAGAGTGCCAGGAAGCAGCCTGTAGGGAGATTAAGGGAAAACAAAGGGATGTGCAGAGAGCTGGGTGCATGTAGTATGCTCAGCTTTCAGAAGCAACTAAGTATGCAAACCTCTAGCAGTAGTTATTCAACAGAATATAATGGCTCTTTCAAGATCGTTGCAGTTTGCAGCTTGCAAAGAAGCAACCAAGCCATCAGCAAAGGTCTGCTAAATTCATCAAACAAATTATAGTTTTATAAACTCTTAAAAGTGCTGTGGCACACAGTTGCTTTTTTATTAAAATATCAACATGATTTCCGAAAAGTAAATCTTCCTGTGGGTTTATTCAATAGGGAAAAAATCAAGTTTTTTCAGTCAACCTTCTAGAATGAACCAACTTAGAAAAAGGTCACAAAGACACGTTCTTTCCAGCTGCTGGCTAAGAGACAGACAAGAAAGTCAAGCACCAGACTTGCCTTTCTCCTATATCATAATCCTGCAAGAACTGTCTTGACTGTCTCTGCAGTACTGTTCTATTTCCCCAAACAACTTCATCTTATTTAGGAAAGATAATAAGAATTCACAACTATAAACTGATTTTATGATATATAGATGCTTTTACTTTGTGTATGACATTAGGAGGTATAAGGGGTTTTTAATAAAAATTAATTTTCACTGCAGTAAGGTGCCCAACAGCAATAACTATCACATAAATTCAAATGGATTTGCTTACAGTTCCAAGGAAGCCTATTAAACCCCTCATTCTGGTATACACTGTGCTTAATGTTCTCAGTGTATATCCTTGAAAAACAATTTAAGACTGAAATACAGCCAAACATCCAACATTGCTTCAAAACAAAGCCTCCTCATTAAAGTTGCAAATATATTTTCATAAAATAATATTAAAAATGTATTATGAGCATCCTTATCGAGCTGATGGTTTAGAAATAATTACTTTAAAAAGTCAAGCCCATTTTTCTTTTTTCCTCACAAAGTCAAACATCAGCTTTTGCACAGCAACAATAAAATCTAGCCACTAAAAGATGTCTGCTGGCCCTTCATCAGGTCCCTGCACATACCTTTGCCTTGTCAATTCAGCAGAAGAGCTTTAGCCACTGCCATATGCATGCACTGCAGTCATTGGTGTTCATCTTACAAAGGATTCTGTTGCATTTTAACTATCCTATCCATGTTCTATCAACTGTATAGAGAAGGACAGACCATTATAGGAAGATAAATAGGTTTATTTATAGTGTGGCTGCTTGTATTTGGGATAAACCTGGGGGGAAATAAAATGCTTGCTTGATTTCTAACTCTAAGGGGAGGTAAAATGGAGGTAAAAAGAGGGCAATAAGCCAGAGAGCTTTCATAAAGGCATGCATTTGAAAGGTGATGACCACTTGCAGAAGAGACATTTCAGATGTGTCCACTCAAGTAAAAGAACAGCTGACATCCATTCTCTGAAAAATGTAGATTTTTAAATACATTGTGGTACCAAAGCTTTGCTGCAGGATGCTGACAGCCTACATTCCACTGTTAGCTGAGAAACAAAGACAAGGAAAGCAGTAGAGAGGTGAAAGTTGGAATCTAGCATATTTTTTCCTTTTTAAGGATAGTAATCTTGTAATTTCTTACAACATCTCTTACTAAAAATGAGACAGCTAAGTTAAGCCACTATGATGTTATGTATTTTATTTAAGTGTTAGAGAGATTTATTCTTTTTAAAACTTACCAGATTTGTACTTCCTGAAAACAAACAATTTCAAAAACAAATGGAAAAAAACCCCCAGTATTTCCTCCATTCTCTCAGGCATTTGGATAGCAACCAATCACCATTCCAAACTCCTAATTTGGATACCAAAAAAAGTGAATAAAATTGCTGAGCCACATGTAGATAGCAAGAGCTCACAAGCCAAGCAGATATATATAGCAGCAACTACGTGGGAGGCCCAATGAGGTAACCGTAGCGACCCGTTTGGTTAATGTAGAAGTGCATAAATTCTGCCTAATCTGCAGACAAGCAAAGACAAGGCTAGAAAGGTTTTGTTTAAACACTACTGATGTGCAGCAAAATCTGAAATACTAACTTCCATTTTCCTGGGAACCCAGGTGTTCTCTGAAACCACAGAAATTGAAAGCCCCATCCTGCAGCTTCCCCAGCCGTAGCCGTTCCATTTCTATTTTCTTTTGAATTTTGAATTTTGAATGCCAACTTTATCCTCTGACTCTCTGAAAGAAGTATTTCCCGCTCTGAGGGACGACAGCCTTTCCACGCAAACCAGAGCCCTGCCAGGTGCAGAAAGCCTGTGGAGTGGCGTGGCTGCAGGGGCCACGCTCACCAGGAAGAACACAGGGTTACAGCTCCCATCAGCCACCAGAGGAGACTTTGCTGCTGCCCAGTGACAGCACCATGTTCAGAAAAAGCAACCAAACCAATTTTCATGTATAACTGATATAAACCTTCCCAATGTTTCATCTGGCAGATCCCCATACAAAGTGCTTCAAATCGATACAGAAGTGATTCACTGCCATTAAACCCACAATTTCTCACCCAAGTTCCCTGAATGCCTTAATCTTATTATGTCGTCCTAGCAACTCTTTAGTTACTTTCAAAAAATTTTTTGGAAGCTTCTACATAAATTTGGTCCCCTTAACACTACAAGACTGAAGTCTGCAACATACTATGTAACTACACTGGTGTTCTCGACCTAAAACTCAACCCCAGGATTTTTCTTCAGGCCTTGCCCACATCAACCTACCCCTACTTTCTTTCTGTCTACACTCTTCTGATAAAGTCAGTTAACAACTCTTCAGTGCTGTGTGATTCAGACCTGATATGAACAGGATTAAACACAGCACAGCTAGGATTTACTCCCACCACAGCTGTGCTGGCATTTACAATTTTCAGAAAAACTTACTACTGTAAACACAAGATGCAAATTGTAAGACACAAGGCAATGTTAACACAGAAACAATGACACAAGCAAAACACAAAAAGTAGAAAAGTGTGGTTTTGTGTTAACCTGGTTACTACCACTGCTTTGACTAAACACTGAAGACTTCAAACCTAGGGATTACTAATAAGATCTACTAAAATGAGAATGGTGATGGGGTAATGCAAAAATTCCTGCAAGGCAGAGCTCAAGAATGCAAATACACCTTACCTGCACAAGCTGTAAAAGATAATGAAGAACATCATCATCTTCTAAACTTTCCAGTTTTTGAACTGCCATTGCTCGGACATTTTCATCTGAAAAGTTACAGTCCAGAAGTTGCATCGTGAGTCCAACATCTAAAGTGCTCTGATCCCAAACTTCTTTTTTAGCTAGCAACTGGTATGTTTTGGCCACTATTTCTTGTTGTCCCCATTTCACAGAGCTAAGCAGCTTAGGATATGCCTTGGGGTGCTTTATGCTTTCATATCTAAAGTGCCACAACAGTTCTTTGTCCTCGGGAGAAAGTGGATTAAGTGGGTCAGTTGCTATGATCTCTTCAAGTTGTTTGCGAAGCTGATTGGGCATTTCAGCTCGGGTCCTGTCCCCTTGGGGATCTGATGCTATCCTGTGCTTGGGCAAGGCAATTGGGTGACAATATTTGTCCAGCACAATAGAGATAGCCATTGAGTTTTCTTTATCTGGGTTAGTTGCTGATGTGAGTTTGTCTGCATTGATACTTCCTTGTTCTTCCCCCTTGCCTGGAATTTTCCACATGTGGAGGACATACTCCCCACTTCGTAGCAAGAAACGGTGATCGATCAACAGAAGATTTACATAATAGAGAAGCTGGGTTTTGCATTTTGTATCCGAGTTGGAGGATTCATGTGACTGAAGGTTTGTCTTCGTGGAGGGACCCTGTGCTTTGCCACAGTATATCTGAAGATTCAGAAGAGCTCCTTTAGGCAAATCCTTGATTTTGATATCAAACTCCAACCAAATATTCCACAGAACCTCCTCAGTAAAAGGCTTTGATGAAGTTCTTCTCTGTGAAAGGAGCTGCTGTCCATGTTGAATGTTAGCTTCCACAAACACAGTAAGATCAGTATTTCTTGGTAACACTGGGATATCAATGCCAATTATTTTCACCCTAAATTTCCTATTACAATCCCACAATGAGATAGTGAAGACTCTCTCGTGGTCTTTTCCATCTATTGTCAGCTGTTCATGATACCCTGTAACTCCTGTACAGTCATCCACCAAGGGCCATTCTTCCTTCTGAACCTCATCCTCACTTGGGTTAGGGGGATTGTCTAGGACAAGGTGTATTTCTTCCCCATTCTTAAGGCACTGTCTTATCCAATGAAAGTCTTTGATTGGTGTCTCTCCAATAATGTACTCATCTCTGCCACAAACCCTGAGAACAAAATCCAGCTCACTATGATCTTCAGGAATGTCCATCAAAGATTTTTTCTTTGCCATTTTTGTGAAAAAGCTGTGAAGAATCATATCTGGAGTGTCATCTATTGACACTTTAATTTTTTGACTAGTTGTTCCTCTATGTATGATTATGAAAATATTATTATTAGTGATCTTTTTAAATAAATATTCTGGGAGTGGCTTAGATGTAGTCCATGGGTGCATTGCATACAATTTAGGATCTCTGCAGGCTACCTCTATCATTCGTGGAGTGACTAATCTGCGACGGGTAAACTCTAGCTCATCATCATGCATGTTGCTTACATCAGTGACATCATAACCAATCAAATCGTTAAGCTGCCGCTGAAATTCCTGAACTTCTTCCGATGGTTTTTGTTTCTGGACAACATAGATCTTGCCTACCTTTTTCTGTAACACTTTCCAGTACAGTATGCAGTCCAGTGTCTGCAATACTTGATGTTTATCATAAATTTCATACCACTGCCCTTTCTTCTGATACTGCAGGACAAACTGATCCGGGGTGAACGCATGGTAGAAGTCTGTGGTTTGACTCATCTCTATTGCACGCATCCAAATCTGTGCCTTCATTTGCTCAACCGTACAGTTGCCAGCTATTTCAAGTAACATCATTTCTGGTACTTTAGTATGTTTATTGCTTGTAGGTAAAATGAACTCAATAGATATCAGTTCCATTGAAGAAAAACTACTGGATGTACAATGAGGTTTCATTCTTCTTCTCCTTCGTTTGTTTTCCTCTCTCATAACAACAGGCTGTTCATGATCCCCCAGCTCCATGCCAGAAGAAATCTAGCAAAACATAAAAATTCTTGATTACTTTTTCATTTACACTTATCTTTACTCTAATTTTTTAAGTCTTGCTAATTAAGATCATAGGCCAGTCAGAATCCTGCCATGTATACACTTTTCATATTTCTGCTTCCCCATAATTTCTAGTCACAAATACTTGATTTACATGGATCAACTCAGATGTAGTCTATTCAATACCAAATATAAATTAAAAACCCCCAAACCAACCCTACAGTGATTAAATCATTAATGGAGCTTTTAGACATCCTTCCCATATTTAACTGAGGATAAGCAATCTGAGTGTACACCCTCCACATTGATTTGTTCTTGCTTCTGTTTGATCTAACACTGATTCTTCTCCTGCCTCATCTGTTTTGATGATGCTGATTTAACACAAGTGGATTTACATAGAAATCAAAAGACACACTCCTGTGTATGAGCAGAATACAATCCCACTGAGCTCCAGGAATGGTAGAAAGTAACAAAAAAAGAGCAATATTTGCAGACTAAGACAGACATGAGCTTTTTCCCAGTTTCCTCTGCCTCTTTTAACTGATGAGGAATCAGGACTTCCACCTAAAAACAGCTCTTAGGATTCAAAAGTCAGAAACTATTTCTGAAGACAGGTATTTAACATGCATCTAAATTCAAGGCTAGTGTCCTTACATGTGCTTCTTTTGAATAACTCAATTCACCAGACCAATAACATCCATCCATTTTCAAAGTATGCACTTTCAATATGAACTAATAGTTTACTACAGAAGAAAAGTCTCCCAAGCTGACGGCAATTTATTACCCTATACATCAAATTACACCTAAACCACCGGTGAAACAATATCAGACATAAGTAGTCTACCTTATCAGCATTCAGTAAACAAAATATATTCTTGCTCTCAGTCAATCTCCATTGAACAATATTAAAGTGGAAATTATTCACCAAGAGCCTGGAAAGCGGAAGGCAGTGCTGATTGAGCACACTCGCACAAGCCAAACTGCCATAGCATAGTGAAGTTCCTTTCCAAACAACACTTTCTACAAGGAAGATCTGTCTCTAACTGCTGGAGAAAAGTAAAATCAGTGTAATGATTCCTTAGCAGATAACAAAACAAGCAGATACAAATGTAAAAGTTTAAACTGAAGCAACACAGCATGTTAACTAAAATTCTTTTTCAAGTTCCGGAAAGCAGTGACTGTGGTCATACCACATCTATAATTGACAAAGTAGAAGGAAATATTACCTGCTTATAAAACAAAGGCTGAATTGCCGAAGACGACTCATTTGTTTAATTTTTGAAGTTCCTATTTTTTTAAAGGAAGATCATTCACACAAAAAGTTTCTTTGTTTAAGCTGTTCTGCTTTTCTTGCTTGCCCTCATATCCAGATGCAAAGGAAGTGCTGCACTTACCAGGAAGGAAGTTTTAACCAAGTCGATTATACATATGATTGCTCATTTTAAAAGAAGTCAGAATGCTTTTCCTGTTATAACAGTAAAAATACACCAACAGTACACCAATTTAACATACACACATAGAAGACATGCTTAAGAAGTCTTTTAAAAATAGCAAAGAATAATCTTGGAAATAAATTTAATGAATTCATATAAAATATTTAAAACTAATACATTTTTGAGAGATTACTATAAAAGAGTTAAATACCAATACTAGATAAAAGACAACTACATCTGCAATGTTTCATTACTTTTATTTTCACGGTGACAGCTGTTTCAGGTTATCAATCAACTTAAATTCACTAGATTTTTAAGCCAGTCTCTGTACAGGCATCACATGGATATTGTATCTGCCAAGGACCTTACATGGTAACCTCAGCAGTAGAACTGCTGGGCAATCTTATCCCTAGTATTTTTAACTCATTCATTTATGATTACAAACATAGTGCAATCTACTAGAAATGATGACTTATGACTCAGGAAGAAAATAAACCATATACTTCCAACTCTAAATTCTTGTGGTTAACTACAACCTGAACAGCTGTTCCTTTACTAAAAAAAACGCTCACAGAAAAAAATATTTGGGAAAACATGTTCAAAACAGAAAGAAAAGACAGAAAAAACTCTAATTGTATCCTTTTTCCTTATGACTCTTCCAGTGAAATACTGACCCTTTTGAAGAGCAACAAGCAGTACACATCCTACAGTGGTACATATCCTACAAAAATTATGGCTCTTGAGAAGAAAGAAAAACATATGAAACAGCTGAAAGGTCTTTTAACAACAATGAAATGGTGGTGCCTTTTTCTTTAACATATTCACACTTCCTATTCGTAAGACATTTTTTATTAAAAAGTGAAAAATAACCCTCCCTCTGTATTGGTGAAAAGTCTGACAGCCTCTTACCTGTCTCCAATGAGCCATTCTCAACCTCAGAAAAATGCCCTCCCCCATACACACAGTTCTTCTTTCTCAGAGCATCATTCTGCTTGGCAACCAAGACTGATTTCTTTTTAGAGGATATTTTTCTCAAAAAGTGAGTTTGGGGGAAACACACTTTGTCCTAGCTCCTTCTATCTTTTAAAGTCAGTATTTGAATTTTCTCATGGCAGTGGCGAAGTTACCCTGAACATTTTGTTGCTGACATGAAATCTACTCATCTTGGCCAAGACACCTCCAACACTCATCCTCCACCCATGTGCAGCCTGTCAGCATTCATCAGCCACAGTCTCTGTGGCATCTCAGCACTACACACTGCTTTCCTCTCTCACATTGTATAATTTTTAAAATGCAATGTAGTCACGTATTTTTCTTCATTTAAACATAAGCAACTGGCATCAAGGGTTTTTTCATGCCAACAGGCTGCGTAGATTTTTTGCAAATAGCCCTTGTTCTAAAGTAATTATTCTGCCCCTACATAAGTAAATCTGGACTCATTTCCGTTTCATTAGGTTCTGCAAATCTAAGAAAGCTTCCAGATTTAAAATGTCCTCAGCTTGCTGCTGTGTGCTACACACCCAAGGATTAATTTTTCAAACACATATACAACAAATAGTCCATCTTCTGCTAAGCTCTTCTAGCACTACTCCACTGATCAAGACCATCAAGACAATCAAAGGCAGCATCTCTACCTTATGCAGCAGAGAGCTACGCTGCACAGTGCACAACAAATGCAGTTGTTTCACGCTCTCATCCACTTACAAAGGCAGGTAGTGCAACACAGTGAAAGGTTCAGATATTCCTCCCCAAATTGCATCAGGATGCAACACAAAATGCGTGGCACTTCTGCAGCTGCCCTGCCTATACAAGGCTGTATTTTCTCCGAATTCATTTGCGCTGTGACCTGTCATGTCTAGTCCAGCCCAATCCAATCGCCATCTCCAGTTGTGCTCTGATCCATTTCCATCAGCTTCAGAAGGCAATTCTTGGAGAGACGATTGTCTCTTATCCATCTCTGCAGTGATAGACACAAAAGTGTCCCCATCCTTAACGTGACACCTAACTATATCCATTTTCTGCTAATCTATGTGTTGGCAAAACCATACTGCCTCACGCATAAGCGTCATAAAACTTTGATGTTAAATCATTTAAAATGAGTTCCTAAAACCTTTGTCATGCCTAAGTTTTACCTTGAGTATTGACATTTCCTTATGTCTACTGCAACAGCAAAAATCACTTTTTTATTTCTAATTCTAATGAGCCTCATCAACCCTGAATATCCCTGAATTAAGAGAACTGTCCTACCACTGGTGCACAAATCCTGATGGGGTGCAATGGAGCACAAGGAGGGGGGTCTGTAGAAGGTAACCAAGGCAAGTAAACAGTCTTGCCTTTGCCTCTAATTTGTTCCTATCTCTTCACCCAAGTCAGCAATCTGACCATAACAAGAACAACAAAAAATTTGGTTAATTTTCAGCTGGATCAGATCCTTTATCTGACTCATCACTTGCAGAAGTGGTAGGGCAGTGAGAGAAGAGAAGGGAAAGGAATGGAGCCAGCATAGTTGAGATTGAAACATGATTCACAGCAGAATTAGGAGATAAATTAATGAGTAAACGTGTTAAATGATTTGAAAACACTGGCTAAAAGGCGCTTTGAAAAGACAATGCAGTATTATGATGAATTGCTTCATATATTCAGCTAGAAAAAATTTAGGACAGCTGTCAGTCTTCACTGCTCTGTTAGGACTGCATTAAAGTTCTGCTGGTTACTATTATACTTATTCTACATTAGCTCCTGCTTCTGGTTTAATCCGTCATGTGGAAACCTTATTTTAAAATTATTCTTTTCACTTTAGTGTGAACTCCTTCCCAGTCAACTTAACCTGCAAGAAAATAAGCACATTCTACCAGAGTAAGAATTACCTTGTGCATACATTATGCCAATATAATAATCACAGAATCAACTAGGTTGGAAAAGACCCCTGAGATCATCGAGTCCAAGCTTTGATTCAACACCATTTCATCTAGTAGACCATGGCACTAGGTGCCATATCCAGTCTCTTCACAAACACCTCCAGGGTTTTTATGTTCACAGTTTTAGACAAAGTTAACTTAAAAGATAAGTTTAAAAAAAAAAAACCAACCAAAACTACCATGACATGACCCAAAACTTTCCAAGCACTATACTACATCTACTTGCCTGCACTATCCTGCAGCAGGATACAGCACCTACTGGTGATCCAGTGCTGAACACTGCAGGTAAGATACAGCACTAACACGTTAAGGACGAACACAACAACAAAACCACTTTGCTCCGTTTGACAGATCCTCTAGCAATTCCTAGCTCTCACGGGAATCAAATCAGTGCAGGTTCCCATTTGCAAGTAAACTTCACAGGTAATGCAGTCACATTCCACATCAAAAAGTATACAAATCAGCAGATACAGCTTGGTCGGGAGGTTGTTACTCAATCAGACTGCTATTACAGCTGTAGCACTTTCAGGCTCCCCCTGCCTTCACTACAGACCTTTGCATATTTTGGTTTCTACATGAGTTATCTATTTGGGGCCGATTCTGGAACAAAGAGTAACTTCTGTCCGGCTCAGAAAATTTAGGTAAGAATTTCAGCCAATGTCTAGTTAAGTGCCGTTACACAAGCCATGGACAATCTACCTTCAAAGCAACACTTCACGTGGAATTTGGAAACACGGAGATGGCAGCTATGGTTCCTGCTGGGACAGGCTCGCCATTTGGACACTGCCTGTCCTGCCAGTCTGTGCCCAACGCTGACTCCCAACGCCGTGATCTGAGCGACACCAGCAACCAGCTCCCGAATGCCCTCAGCTATTATTTCAGACGATTTGTAGCGCGGTGAGGTTTTATGGTCTGTATGTACCAGACAGACACAAGAGGCTACTATTTGCTGGATGAGGAAACACAGTTATTTACTGTTTAAAAGCGGAGTTGACTCACAGATCGTAGGACCCGAGGGAACTGCTGCCACACTATCTAGTGTGATCCTTCGCTTCGCATTGTTTCACTCAGCGTTCCAACAGCTTCCTCGGCGAGTTTTCCATCAAACTCCGTAACTCCAGTTTGGGCCATGACGTGAGGCGGGACCGAGGCCGCGCGGGGCCGGGCAGCTCGGGGCTCAGCGGCGCCGGGGACAGCGGGGCGACCCCGGCCAGCCGCACACGCCCTGCGGGAAGAGGCCCCAGGCTCGGGAACGGCGGGATGGAGCCGGGGCTGCCTCCCTTCCTCCCTTCCTCCCCCGGCCCACCGCCCGAGCCCCGAGATGGCGGCCGGCGCCGCCCGCAGCGCCCGCCGGAGGACGAACCTCGCCGCGCCCGGACCCCCAGGGCCGCCGGGGCCGGGGGCGCCCTACGGCGGGCGCGGGGCCGGGGCGGGTCCGCCCGTGGCCGCCGCGGGGAGCGGAGCGGCACAGCCACCTGCGAGCCCCGGCCTCGGGCAGGGCCGGCCTGGGGCGGGGTCCGCCGCGACCCCCCGGCACGGAGCTACTCACCGCAGCGGCGGCCCCGGCCCCGGCCCGGGCTCCGGACAGGTGTTCGCCTTAGCAGGAAGCGGCGCGGGCCGGGGACCGGCGGGGAGGCTCCATGGCCGGCGGGAGAGGCAGCTCCGGAGCCGCCGCCAATCACACGCCGGGCAAAGAGGGAACCGGCTGTGGGGCCTCCCCGCCCCGCCCGGCCCCGCCGCGGCCCTGGGGCACCCGGCCTTGGCCCCGGCCCCCGGCGCGGCCGCATCAGCCGGAGTGCGGAGAGACCCGCCGGCGGGGTGGGAGCACCACAGCCGCGGTGTGGCTTTACTCGTCAGCATAAGTCATGCAGGATGTGTCCTGGTGTCAGTACAGGCAGCAAACCCCCCTGGGAGCAGCTTCCTGAGGTATTCCTTGCCCAGGGCCCCGCAGCCAGCATGCCCACGGCACTCCCGCAGTGCCCCCCGTCTGCCCGGGGTGCGGGCAGCTCCTTCAGGGCAAGGGCAAATCAGTTTGTCTAAGCTTCCCTTCTCCTTTGGAATGATTTTCATACTGTCTGATTCAACGGCTTCTGCAGGTTAAGCATCTTGCTTATTTTTTAAAAAAAAACTACTTTTTTTGTTTCGAAGTTGCTGTGTTACTGTTTTTCTACTATTTTCCCATCTCCAGACTGGGCAGTCCTGGATCTCTCTTTTTAGGTCATGTTCCTTAGACTTCCTGTGATTCCTGTAGCTCGCCTCCAGGTTCTTGCCAAATGGGCCACATTGTTTTTGGAAAGCACTGCCCAGAACTGGACCTAGTAGTATTCCAGCTAAGGCCTTGCCAAGACTGCCCACAGCAGGAGGATTAATTCATCAGCCTGAGGGTGCCAGGGCTCCAAATGCAGCTCAGGAATAACCATTCGCATCCAATTCAAACAAACAAACAACTCCCCCTCACCACTCTTTCCCCACCCTAGCTGCTGTCTGTTTGGCTCTGAATATGGAGCTGAGCATTTCTGTCTCTGCAGCTCTTTTTTGGAGTGAACAGAAAACTTTCCATGATTATGTTGAGATTTTCTTTGACCCAGATCATGCAGTGAGTGTCACAGATGAACCCTGCATGGCACAGAGTGCACACACTCGCCCTGAAAGCCATGTTGACATAAGGTCACATCTTCAGGGAGTACTGCACAAGACCACAGGTAGCCACAAAGACTATTATTAACTGCCACAGAAAGAAAGTATCAGAAGGAAATAACTGGTATGCTATACATACCGATGCTATTATAAAAAACCAGATAATTGTTGTTATAGCATGGATGGATTCTTTCAACTTAAAAAATCATTTGTATGACATTAAGAATCATAGTACCAGCCTGAAGCAGCAAGTATTTGAGGAACTACTGTATAAACATGGAGTTTCTAAATGAACATATGTTACACTGAACTGTGGCTATAAGGAATCATAACTGTGCTGGCCTCAGGTTCCTCAAGTTTTTACAAAGATGAAAGCAAATCAAAAGCCTTTTACAACTATCATGGGATGTGTGTGCAGCACAGGGGAAACACAGTGAAGATTCACTTCATGCCTGGTTTTGCCTGGTTCAGTGGGTAATATCTGTCAAAGAAGTTCAGCTTTGCACAGCATGTGTATTACTGAATGCTTTAAAAGACATCTGAAAGCCTTATCAAAATAGGAAGTCTTTTTTTTTGTTGTTGTTGGCTGGATCCCCAGATGGATCGCTCCAGGAACACAAGTGTAGCCAGTTTGGAAATTAATCCTGTTAAAATCCATGGACTTTATTTGGGGATGCACAAACATATGGAAATTTGAGCAGCTGAATAAAAAGACTGTCATTTGTCAAAAGGCAATTATAGAGGGAATAATTTACAGCCAGAGCAAATGACACATTTTATGTTGATTTCAGCCAGAATTGTATAACGTTTTTTAAATAAGTCAGCATAATGTTATTTACAATGCAAGAATATATTATTTTGCTTATTATATTTGAGAAAGGTTGGTAAACTGAAAATCTTTGTCTTTTCAGGGTTGAGTAAGTTAATAAAATACTAAATTTTTGCTGTTAATCTTCATCTTGTCTATATATAACACAATTTTCTTTATTGCCTTTTTTGGCAAATCAAGTAATACAAATTTTCCTGTGAGCAAGGATGCTCTCCTTGTAGGTTGTATAGTCTTTGGAAATACACATTATAACATTGTTTTATTCCTATTCATTTCCTAATGTGACTTAAACCTTTTCCCATAAAATATCTGTTCATTTGTTGGTTTGGTTTTGTGTGGGTTTTTTTTGTTTGTTTGTTTTTTGCTTGTTTGTTTTTTAATCAAGAACAGCCTGTAGAATAAATCAAAATGCATATTTTACCATATCAAAAATGGAACTTTAGAACAGTCAGGAATACCATAGCTTAATGAAGGAAGGTGAAGAACACAATTTGATATTTAAATGAAGCTGATTTAATCAAAATTAGTCATGCAAAGAAACAATCATTTTGCTAATATAATCTTGTGGGGTGCAGTTAAAATGCAATTATTTCCTTTATGTTCCAGCTGTAATAAAAATATGACAAGGAATCACTGTCATGATCTTAAATGGTAGTTTTGGAGGTTGAAAAAGTGTAAGATGGTATCTTTTGTGTCCTCTGCACAGTCAAACATCAGTTTTTATGTTCTTTCTTTCATGGAGAACTGCGATAAAGAGTAACAGCCACATTAAATGCTCAGCAACAACTTTATATACTGACATATGCTGGAACTGGATGTGATTGTTCCGTTGTCATTGACAAACTGGGTTCATTACAATTTAGGAAATAGTATCTAGTAGTTTGGGTTGGATTTTATTTTCTATATTGCCAGCAGAGAAAAAAATTAAATGCAGTAAGTTTGTAGGTCTTCTAACAACAAAATAAAAGCCTGCTTGCCTAGTTCCAGCAATAGCTACATTCAGTTTTGTAATTGCTTCTTTATGTAAAGAAAATGGGAAATACATTGTGCATCCCCTTGCAGTGGTAGATAGCTTTCTCCTTTCTTGGAGAATTTATAAGCTGGAATTTTCTAATTGGGTGTGAACAGTTTATGGTGCATTCAGTAGAGGATTTAAAATAAATAGACAGAATCCCTTTATCCTACAGCTCTGCTGTGAAAACTGATCTTGTAAATATGTGATCAGTTGTATTGACATCATTGCTGTTGATTTGTCCATATGCACAATCATATGGTAACTTTGGTAGAGCAGTGTCAGGAAAACTCTAACAAGAAAAAGAGGAGTTTTGTCTATCTCTTTGCCTTCTCCTCCAAGAAATAGCCACTCTTTCCTTTTCTCCTGATAGACTGTTGCTCCTGTGATCGAGATTCTGCACAAAATCCCTCACTTCAAGCACCTTAAGCTTCACAAACAGGAAACAGCAGGTGTTCAGAAGCCTTCAGAGGTACATCTGCTGAAGACTTTGTCTCCCATTTTATTGATTTAGGCTGTTACGCTTCAGAATAGGTATTTAAAGCACAGGGGTGGGAGTGCAAGCTGTTTCCTCTGTACCACATATGTACACACATCAACCGAGATGTAAAACTCACATAATACATCTTACTGGCTTGAATGCCTGTTTTTGTCTGTTCACATGTGTATGAGGTTGTCAGGGAGAGCGAGGTACTCCTTCTGGTACCAGAGTGTGTGTAAACAGATCTTTAAGATCACTGGTTATTCTAAAGGGGTGGGGAAACTCACAAGATTTTGTGGCTGCTGACAGAGGTCTCAGTATTAGGGGATGTTGATGCAATGTTGCATCATCTTGTGGTGTTGAGACTTGACAGAGGAAATGAAAGAGGTCAGAAATAGAAATGTAAAGAAAAGGAGTTCACACTTCCAACAAGTCCTCTAGTCTAATATCAGTATATTAAGTAGTGTTAAATATAAGGTACAGGCAGGAATTCCTCAGTCTCTGAAAGTTTCTGACACTGAAAATAATTAGTCTAATTTGGTTATATGTTATGAAGTTTCTCTAGACAAGCTCTCTGAACCGTGTTGCTGTGTTATCTTCCTGTCCTGATATTTATTGCTCTTAATCTTCAAAAATTTGCTCAGCTGTGTACTCATTTGTTGGTTCATCCCCCTGTCTGTGAGGAGGTAAATATATTTACATTGCACAGGAGCTATGTAAGGGTAGACTTTTATCAGAGGATTTCTGTGGTTTTGTTGTTGTAAATGAGTAATGTAAAGTGCTTTCCCTTTAAACTACCTCATTGCATTTCCCTGTATATTGAAGTAATGTATCCTTCAAACACAAAACTGTTGCTTACCAGAGTTTCAGGCACCCCACAGGCTAATTGATCTGCTGTCATAATGCTCGGGAATACGGAAAAGACACTCAAGGAGGAATCTATTTGTTCCACAGTTTAGTTGAATACAAATTTAGCTTCAGAAAAAGCTCTTTCCCAGCCTGATCTTTTCTGGAATCACATCCTTAATCTTCTCAAACAACTTTAACAGGTGGCCTCAGCAGAGTGTCTGGATCACCACATTTGGGGTTTTTATGGGACTGAATAATAGGCTTTTGTTAAAAAATGCTGGATCCCTTGTACAGGAAGCCTGTGAGCAGGACTGTCTCCTGCCTGGGAGCTGGGGATCCTATTGGGATGTCAGGGTTGAATCTGTGACAACACTCCATATACAGGAGACAGTACCTCATCATGCTGGTAGCTTTTTAAAATAAACACCTGTCCTCACGCTGGAATACAGAGCTGCTTTCTTTAGAGACAAATCAAAGCCTTGACACCCAGCCAGCCAACACAACCGTGAGGAGTAAAATACCAGTTTCAGACCTTGAGCTTTGCATATTTGGTTCCTAGAAATGGAAGCTAAGTAAAGCTGTGAACCAAAACTTCCACATGGGAAGTGTCAACCCTTACACACAAAATGAGGACAGCACTATGCTGTGGGTATTAGGGCTTCATCACCTGTCAGTCTGGTCTGTATAGATGGCCCTCTGTTGTCTGTGTCAGCCAGGAATGGTTAAAGACAAACATGGAACATCACCCAGATAGAACAGCTGGTGTTGCCAGACATCCTGTGTATTTTAGGATTCCCTGAGTTACCATCACAAATACTGCATTATCTATAAAATGCATGTCCCCATATTTCCCT